AAGGATGCGGGACGGGCAGGACGGGACGGGACGGGACGGGACGGGACGGGATAAACGGGACGAAATGGCCATCCCGTGTCCCGTTTAACATGGCCCCATCCCGTTTATAATCAAGTGGGCCGGGCCGAACTGGGACGGAACGGGGCGGCCTGTCCCGTGGGACAGCCTTAGTATGAATAGATGATTTGCTAAATTTTTTTGTTTAAATTATTAAATATTATCTGTTTTTTTGGATGGTTTGAATAGATATGCTACTTTTTAAAAACTAAATCTCATATAAATAATCATCAAACATCCTGCCAGAAGTTTGAAACATATCTTCCCTAACCCCCAAACATCCTATTAGATGTTTGAAGCATCTCATAGGATGTTTGAAACATCCATCACGATGTTTACTCACGACATGAATTTATTCATTCGACGGCTGATTGAACATTAATCCGTTGATTAAACATCAACTTATTGACTCTAGGTATAGTCGATCACAAATATTAACATATTGAATACTTTGAATAATTGAGCATTAACCTATTGATTCTACGAATAATTAAACATCAACCTATTGGTTTAACTCAATCAATATCAAACATCATGGTAGAAGTTGCAAACATCCGTGCTAAATGTTTCAAACAAAACTCTTTACAAGAACATGTTCTGTTGCGTAGATCAATTTTTGCAACCACAACATGACCAGTGACGCTGAACACCTGCTGCCTTATTGGATGGACCAATAGCTTGTTACCCAAAGTTGCATTTTTATTGATCTTCTTTTCAACTGAAAGGACACAATGGAATTTTTTGCGAATATTTTCAGCAAGGTGCCTCATGTAGAATTCGTGATGAGCCTGAGGGTAAAATTTTGAGATTTCGTTTGCAATGCTTTTGTGTCTATCAAAAATTATGCACAACCCAACAATGTCGGGATATATGCTGGCCAGTTGTTTTAAAAAAATATTTATATTCGGTATCACACTTCTTGTCAACTATGCAAACATGCCACATGGAAAATATGATTCCCTGAATCTTGTGCAACGGTTGACAACAACACTCTGCGATACTTTCCTGTGAAATGTCCCATCAACGGCTAAGACTTTCCTCATAAACAAAAACCCTTGAATCCAAGCTCTATAAGCTACAAAAAAAGTATTGGAATCTCCCACAGTTATCAACCTTCCTTTATTTGCCTTCCTGAGCGCCTAGCGGTATGCATCTAAAATTGCATACCCGTGCTCGGGCTTCCCCCTTACCATAGCCTTTGCGATATGACTTCCCACCATACACTTTCAATAACTAACATTACAATCCAAATCTAAATGAACCGTTTCCATAATTTTTTTGTAAGATGGAACTCTGCCCTCTTCAAACTTAGAATGAACGTATTCACTAATGATGTCTGATGAGGTGTGGATGCTTTTCTGTAAGATGTTGTGACCCGCATATGTGCTTATTGTTGTACCTCGTAATATAAAACTTGTTAGTACTTGTATATTTGATGGCTCGCAACTACCACTTGCAATTAATAAGTATTGTCTACACATTTGACACAATACACAAATTTGGTACTCTTTACTGATTTGAAATGGAAAGGAGCCTTCGGGGAAGCAACCTTCAATGACATAATTAGGTTGCTCTTGATTTGAAACTTAAACACTTAGAGAACTTTGTGCTATTGGTTCTACCTCTTGTAAGTTGCGTTCAACTCAAGGAAAATTTGCATATTCTTCTTCTTTTTCTTTCATTTTCTTTAATATCCATATTCAAATGATCCATTTTTGGAATATCGATATTCAAAAGATCTTCAACGTCAGCTAATTCATGGCTATCATGTTGTTCCATTAGAGGTGAATTTGTAAAGTCTACCGGCCATTCAACAATAGATACCCTTAGAATGGGCTATTTTCATCTTCTAAATAATAGCTCAAACAATCATAATTCTTTATTTTAAAGGGAGCTACTTTCTTGTGCTTTTCACCAATGGATAGATGCATGTAAGTTATGGAGACATCACTCGAATGACGAGTTAACTCACAACTGGTAATGATCCTCATCATACATATCATCTCTACGCACCTTTATTAGAACCGTCTCTTTACTCTTCGAGCGTCAAGTAAAACGAGTAGAGCACTACACCTATTTACCATGACAATCAATTCCCAATATTATATAATCAACGATTTTATGATCGCAATACCTGAAGATATCACAAATATATAAATAATTGATTTAAAGAACCTTTTTTTTTTTTTGCGAACATTCTAAGAAGATGGTTGAAACATCTTGAGAGGATGTTCCAGCTATCTTGGATGTTTGAAACAACTATCTAGGATTATATCAAGATACTTTAAACATCTCACGAGATGTTTAAAAAATCATAAAAAATCTACAATATCTACATACGAAGAAAACAAGCTTAAGCTTAAACACCAATCTTTACTTACCAACAATAGCGAATAGATTGAATATCTCCCTTGAAGTAATGCATAAGCAACAACAACAAAAAACCTAGTATAATCCCACAAGTGGGGTCTGGGGAGGATGATGTACACGCAGACCCTTACCCTACCTTGAAGGTAGAGAAGTTGTTTCCGATAGTCCCTCGGCTCAAGGAAAGATGAAAAGAAAGCATTAGCAACGAGCAGTAACAACAAGAAGATAATAAGAAAAACAAAGTGAAAGGAATAACTTGTAGTAATAGAAATCCAAAAATAATATAATACAAGACTAACACTAATATTACTGGTATGGGAAAGAAACACTCTCGACTGCCCGCATCTTATCCTCCACCGGGACCACTCACACTTAAACTTGAATATTTTTATTCTTGATCTTATCAATTTTGGTATGCCCGTACATCCATCTTAACATCCTCATTTATGCCACTCTTATCTTCTAGACATGGGAGTTGTTGACTGGCTACAACATAAAGTAATGCACAAGCCAATTAAGCAAATCACGGTCAAGTGCTTCTCAATAGTGCAAGGGTCGATCTCCAAATATTCTTGTTCTTTTTTCACAAATCTTTCTCAACAAAGGACAAGAACCTCGAAAAAGATTTGTGAGAAAATAATGTTGGGATTGAAGAAAGAAGAAGAAGAGATTGAACACAACATAAAAAGAAAAAAGCAGGAATTGGTGCTGGGAAGGGTTCCCCTTTTCTTAGAGGGGGTTGGGGCCCGTTAGGGGCAGTTGTGATAATTCTAAAACTTTGAGGTTCTTTCTAAACCTACTTTTAAATAATAAACACTAATATGAAAGTGTCTTTTTCACACCAATCTTAACACTTTTGTCTTTAAAAATTGATATAAGTTTCAAAAGTCTCAAAAATTTAGATCTCTCTGGAACCAGCTGGTCTTCTTTTCCTTTTATTAGAAACCCCAAAATTTTCTGCAGAATTAAAAGCTTCAGAAGAGGAAGATGGACCAACGGGAGAAAGTCTGTTGGTATAAATCTTGTTGATCAAAGGTAAACGATGAATACCCATATGCTGTTAGTCTACTTATACAGCTTTCTCAAATGGGTGGTGCTCCGGCTAGAGGAGATTAAATAAAAAAAGCATAATGAAAAAGGAAAAATGGAGAATTATTTTAATGAAATTGGACATATGGCAAGTAAGGATTGGTGCATGACAAGCACTTCCTTTCTTAATATTGGAGTTGGCGAGAAAGAGGGTAATAATACCACTTAGAAGTTGTTCCTAGGAATTTTAAGATCGTAATTGAAAATCAAGGACTAGTTTGAAGGGGCCCTTAAATTCCCCTTGAAAAAAAAAATCAAAAGAAAAGATGCTTGCTTTAGGCCTTATGATCTGCGAATTACTGTTTTTAGTTTGTATGTGCAAACAGAACTCAGTTAACTGTATCTTCCGCAATGTGCTTCCAGTCAGGTCATCTCGAGTTACATCGTAACTACAGTTGGACCTATAATATTAATAATATGATCTTGCTTAGTGATTCACTGTATAGTTGATGCATCTAGGCAAAGCCAATTTTCCTCTTTTGCATAGAATGACACAATATGTGTAAACTAACACATCTTATACTATTTGGTTCCTACAGCATGGATATATTCCAGAGAGCAAGAAGCTGCCACCACTTGAAGAGAAGCAGCCCCATTATAGCATGCTGCAAATTCGGAATTTTTACTGCAGCTTTTCATAAAACTATCGGTATATGAGAATTACGAGGTCTCAAATGCAATTTGACATATGAATTAGGTGTTGCTGTAACATATTAGGTCAGTAGATTCTTTATAGTTGTAAACCCCTGTAATAAAGTGAGCCCATCAATTGAAAGTTCATTATTGGGGAGCACCTTGTTTATCCTTGTTCTGTAGACAAATAGGTTGGGGTTTATGTCCTCTTTTTGTACTTCTTCTTACAATGAGGTGTTCTTAGAGCAATAGGTTGATAGGAAAGTGGGACTTTTTAATTCACCTGAACATTTCACATAATTCACTTGTAGCCTCCCTAGAATAACTTCATCACTATAATTTAGAGAATCTTGATCTTATATTTAACTTTAACTTTCTGTAGGGTCGTCTACCCTTTTCGATATGTAAGTGGAGCAGCCTTATTCTTTCGGATTTATGACACCTATTAGTGCTAGACTCGAGAAGGAATAATTTCAATGGAAGTCTTCCACCGTCATGTACTGAAGAGAGCACTTCATTGATGACCATTGACTTGAATGGTAATCAATTTGAAGTGCTTTGAGTACATCACAGTGGAAGGCTTCCATTGAAATTATTCTTTCTCAAGTCTAGCACCTATATATAGCTCAGCCATGCTACCCAAGCAATGTGGAACTGACTCACTGAAGTTGTGTGATAAATCCAGAAGGTTAAGACTGCTTCCACATGACTCACTGAAGTTGTGTGATAAATCCAGAAGGGTAAGACTGCTTAAGTTGCAAGGAAGTTAAATTTAGGATCAAGATACTGTAGATAGTAGTAATGAAGTTGTTCTAGGTGGCTTGTAAGTGAATCATGTGAAAGTTTTAGGTAAATCAACGAGTCTCACCTCTTAACTATCAACCTATTGTTCTACAGAACACCCTTCAAGTTGTTCTGTCTTGGCCCACAACATGCAGTGTACCCAATATAGAGGCTAATAATGATTCAATACTCTCTTTAATTCGTTTGGACTTGTATGATTAGGAATGACAATGGGACGTGGCAGATTGATTTTCCTGCTCTTTGCAAGTTGCATCATCAACTCATAATCCTTACTATTAATAAAATGAAACCTTGGAACTGCTTCATGAGGGGCTCATAGTTTGCAAAGTGAAGATTTCACTTTTTTTCCCCCTAAACGAAGCAAATATGTAATTCTGTTTTATTTCCTTTTTTTATTGGGATTGTTTATTCTCTTCATTGAAATATATCCAAAGATTAGTACTGTATACTACATGCTTAATATGTTGAGTCAAGGTACACGGCAAATAGACTAGTAATTCCAAATTAGCTAGGTGAGTTATATGAATCCTCTATGTTCATGAGTCTCATTCTGGCTCATTTTATTTCACTGTTCAATAATATATCGTGTAGAACAAATTATGGATCCCTGAAACTGTTCACTCTTTAAATATCATAGCTATCTTTACGATCTCCAACCCAACTAAGTAAAACTCACGTTGAACAGCAAAGTTAATATGAGTGTGCTCATAACGAACTATAACCCTAACTAGTCGGCATCTTTTTTATGTTATTAGTTATGTTTCATTTTTCGTTACGTCTGCATGAATTTTAAGTTACTACACCATGTTTAAGACAACCTTCTTTTGAACCACCAAAGGATGTGGTGCGGTGGATGAGACTGCTCTTTCCTTAACCAGAGGTCTCGTGTTCGAGCCTTGGGCTTCCTCCGAATGGGTCTCTACGCAGCGCGAGTTCGGATTTAGTCGGGCTCCAATGCAGGTAGTGGACACCGGGTGAAAAACCAAAAAAAACCTTCTTTTGATATGGTTTTGGATCTACTTCGTGTTTAACACATTCAATCATTATAGAGCAATATGTACGAGCAGAGAATAATATGGTACCCCAGAGATGCGACACTATTTTTGAATTCAAAAATAACGTTGAACCAGTCTATAATTTTTTGTGACGATTATTTCCTTTCATGTTTTATTTAGAATTAACCGTGAGGATTCTTGGTTCTTTTTTAAAATTTATCATTAAAAAACTGTTCTATGTGAAAATGAAGCTAAATTTTCTTTCCCACTTCCTCTGAAGAAGCTTTGTGCTTATGTAAGGTTGAGTTCTCGTCTTCATAGTTTAAAAATTTTCTCGGCGACATCTATCTATCTAGTTTATATTATATTATACTAGTTTCACATTAATCTTGCTCATGCAAATACACTTTTATACTTTCTAACGGATATTTTATACTTTAATGCAACACAAGATGGAGTGATTTGTGTGGTGTCCAATTTTCACGTGCATTGATTATTGAAGGATCTGGTTCTTCTATGTATTTCTTATAAAACTGTTGCGGAAATAGTAAATGCGGAAAGTAAAGAACACAAGTAATTTTACGTGAAAAACACCCTGTTCAAAAGGTGAAAAAACCACGACTTACTACTCAGTAGGATTTTTTCCAACACTTAACTAAATCACTGAGCCAAAAACATCATTTATAAAACTCTTTGTAAACCTAATGATTACCTCTAATCCTGTTGTAGCAACCAGCCTCTAACTGTTGCGACAACTCCAAGTTAACTCTAACTTGAATACTCAGAGTACCTAATATAATTGCCTCTAGATAAATATGAAAGGTACAGTTTGAAAACACCTACTACAATGAAACTAGAATAAAAGACAGACACTTGGAACTGGTTCTTCTATCTGGCTCATGTAGCTTCAGGTTCGCACACTTGAATCACACAAGAATTGTTTGCTAAATGCCTTGCTATTTTGCTCTCAACTCACGTTTAACTTCAGCGTTTGTGCATACCTGTAGAATGAGAACATCCTGCAATATATAGAGTTAGTAGAATAAGAAATAACTAGAGTTCTAATGCTATACTCTTCCATGGTGTAAGAGTTCTAGTTATCTTCAACTTCTAACTCCTCCCTTATCTAGGATAGAGTTTTCTTCGAGTAAGGAGTCCTTCTACTTATCATTTATGCAACTTTTCGTTCAGGAGATAACCGATATAACCACTTAAGCTTATCTCCTTCATGTGCGTGCCTTGTGCTTGAGTCTGCCCGTGTCTGTATACACTGTGTATGGACCTGGTTCATGCTTTGAGTTACTTTGTCAATCATAAAAATAAACTTCACTTGGGCCAACAAATTCTCCCTTTTTGATGATGACAAACTTTGTGCTTTTCATAAGCATATGCACAGCGTCAACTCAGCTCAACATCAACACAATATTAACACTTTCCATTTTAAAGTCACAAATCATCAAGGATCAGGTTCATTAGGTTATAAACATCATAGTCCACAACAAAAAGCACCTATCTTCCCCCTTTTGGCATCATCGAAAAGTTACATAATTATGTTAGATAACCATATTTGAATAGAAATTACTCATAGCCACTAGGGTTACTTCAAATGCAATTATGAAGTCAAGCATCATTTATCAAACTAATAATATTAGTCAACTTAGAAGCATCAACAAATAGTTAGAGCAAAAAAACAGTTGATTATCATTGATACTAGTCATCACAAAGCATAAAGAGAAATAAAAGCACTAGATCATGACCAAAAAGATCAAAAAGAAATCCCATCCGGGTCACTGGTTTGTCTAACTAGGCTAAGAAGGTTTTAAGGCAGAGAAGGACCAGGTTCTTGGCTTGAAGCAGTTTCAGCATATCATGAAGAATGCCACTATTCTTCTCCTTTTCTTTTGCAAGCTCAGCTCTGAGAGCATCTCTCTCAGTTTCTACTTCCGCCAACTGCTTCTTCAGCCTTTCAATTTCAGCATTCTTAGTCCCACTTTCTTACACCAAGGCTCGCATTTTGCTGTTCACAGGTACCTTCTTGGATGAACTAGGTTCTTTGGGAGTGGCGTGGGCTTCATAGTCACAAACAGTCAAATTGTTTGCCCCAAAGTGATCCTTGCTTGTACCAACTTCCCATTTCTTTATGGGTACCTTGAAGTATGCAAGTACAGCTGTGAGAATGAACCCATAGGGTATGGCATGAGTTTTGGTGCTAGTTAGAACCCTATCGAGAAGCTGGATGATAAATCCAGGCCAATTTATTTGCCTTCCACTGTCCAGACATTCCATTAGGACCAGGTCCATGAATGTGGCAATATGCTTCCTTTACTGCCTAGGAAGCACAACTTTGTTAACAAATTTGAACAACACTTTGTGGGGTGGCTTCATCTCACTTTTGTATATAGCCTTGGGCTCAATCTATTCTTCATTGTCACCTAACTTCCTTGTAATGGCAAGGACGGTAAGGGGATTCTCTAGACTTGGCCATTTGAGTTTCTTGTAATCATTGTACCCTACAACAGGTATACCTAAGATCTCTCCCAATTCCTTGTCATCAAAACTCACTGTTACCCCCTTCACCACACTGGTGACTCTGCTATGTTTGATCTCACAGTTTGCCATGAACTCCACAATCTCAGTTCTGACAAGATTTCCATCCATCTGAAGGACCATGTCCTTCCAACCCTGCAGTTATAACTTTTCCAGCGGCATCACTATGCCTTCTTCCTCTAAGTTCCTGAGGAGTATACCTTTTAAGATGGTTATTTTCCCAAACTTAACCATCTTGTCCTTCTCTGCATCAGATTCTTCTTCTTCTTCACTCCCTTCTTCTTCCACTACTTTTACTTTTCTGGACTTCAAGGCAGACCTGGTTCTTTTAGCCAAGGTAGAGGGACCTGTAGACTTTGTCTTTGAAACAGAATTCTTTGTGGAAGTCTTGATCTTCTTTGCCTTTGGAGTCACAACCTCCATTTCTTCTGCCTCCTCTTCATCATGAAGAACGAGGTCCATCTCCTCAATTTAAACTGCTTTAACAGGCTCAACCACCTTTTTCTTTCCCTTTGCAGTAGCTTTTTTCTTACTTTCTTCTAGGGCCTTTTCCAGTTCAGCCTCACTCTTCTTCTTCTGATTCCTTGTATCTCTTCCTCTTGTAAGGGGAGTCAATACAGGGATAAAAGATGCAGCTTTTCTTTTCTTGTTTGCCCTCGCAGTGCAAGGAATTTTAACTACTGAACTCTTTTTCTTTTTAGGACTGTAGCTGTCAGACACCCTTATCAATAGGTCTTTGAGGGGTTCCTGCACAGATGGAACATGTTCTTGGAACCTCTTCCTCAACCTAACCAACCCCTCAACACCTTCGCTAGACCCACTTCCCCTTTTTTCTCTCACGCTTTCTTCTTCTCCAGCAGATTCTTCACTCCATACTACTATAGCTCCAGTTTTTTCAGTCAAATCAATAGGAGTGGGTAAAGATTCAGCCACTCCTTTTCCCATTCCCCTCACATCGCAGTGATCACCCTCACTCTCCTTTTTTTTTCTCCTTTTATTTTTACCACCAATTTTCCCAGACTCAGTGGTCTCTACCCTAGCCACAATTCCAACCGGAACAAATCTATTTTCCAGATTTACAACAACCTCAGAGATTACTTCAGATGTAATTTTAGGGCCAGATGTTACCTGCTATATTTTCGAAGAAATGGTTTCTTCCCCCTCAGTTGCAGACTTGAAAGAATCTTCAGATTTTTGGGGTTCATCTGCCCGACCTGCCTTCAGTTGCTCATTTATTTTCTTGATTTGTTCTCCTCTAGCGACTACTTTGCGAGCAGGCATCTTGAATCTTCCTTTCTTGGAGATAAGTGTGGTTGAGGGTGTGGTTGATGGAGTGGGTATGGATTCTTTGGGTGGTGATGAGGGATTTGCATAAGTGTTAGCCATTGATGGTTAGAAGATGGAAGAAAATGATTATGTGTTTTTGGAAGATGAAAGAAGATTAGAGAGAATTGTTTGGCGGTTGTGAAAATAGAAGTGAAGAAATGACTTAAGACAAATCAATTTAAAGAGAGATGATTTGATTGGTCAATGATAACTTTTGTAGAAGTTCAGGAGTCTAATCAAACTGGGAGTCAGTTTGAAGAGACGTTTATGACTCTCTCTAGAATCTAGGCATTTATTGCATTTTGGGACTCTTTTTAGATGAAACTAGTTCATTTCGTAATGGATAAGCTCAAGGAGGTTAGG